TTCTTAACTTTTCTGTTTGCTGATACATCTGTTGTATCCACTGGCTTATTAATTATGAAAACTGTTATTTTTCACATGGGGCCAGAGGTGATGGTGTTTAATTTTCTTTTACCCAGGCTAGCTTCTATATGGTCATAAAAAATTTTGGCATAGGTTTTTTGTTGTTGTTGTTGTTATTTTTAATAGAGCCATAATTCTCTGTTTGGTTTGGTTTTGACATTCTAAAGCCTTCTAATTTAATTTGTTTCACTCTTGTTATTTGATTAGCCAGGTGATGCTGCCTAACCTGGTCAGTTGTCACTCAGACAACCTGAAATATAGAAGGGAAGAAGGGAAATGAGTTTCTGAGACATACACAGGGCGAATGATCAGAGATTAAAAATAGTTTCTAAATTATTAACCAGGTTAATGGGGGGAAAAACAGTATTTAAAATTTTTTATCTTGTTTTTATTATTTGTACGCCTAGCAATTATCAGAACATGCCGATGTGCAGAATTTATGTGTATTTACACTGGGCAGTGTTTACTTGTAGTTAACTTGAATATAAACTAAAGAGAGAGGAAAAAAATGATAACCTGTTATTTTCAGTATTTATATTGTCTCATCTCCCCTCCCACCTAATTCCTTCAATTGTCTCCTAGATTAGAAATAAGTATTGTTTCTGAGTGTTTTTGTTTATTTGTTTTTTAGATTTTTTTTTTTCCCCTTCCTATCACCCACCTTTCCCTGTTGGGCATTAAAGAAAATAATAAAGCATATTATTTTGATAGTCTTCAAGCATTCAGATGATAGAGAGTCATTTTGCAGAAAAAGAAAACCGTATCAGGCAGAATTTACACAGCAGTGCATGGGCTTTTAACAGCAGTTGTTAGTGCTAACGACATTTCCCTAGTTGCTGGTATTAAGGTAGCAGCAGGCCCATACTAGCAGCGTTCCAATGGCCCAAGCCCTGCTCCATTTCTGCCATTCCTGCAGGTCTATGTGCACCTGGGACCGGCCACACCCAGTCCATATCAGTCAACAGTGTATCATGCCGTGTGTGTGTGTGTGTTTTTTTTTAAATCACGATTTCCTCTTGAAACTCAGCTAAGGAGTGTTAACTGTGTGTGTGTGTGTTTTTAAATTCAGTTTTTGTATGCGAGCATTCTTTAAATGTCTGCCAGAAGTTTAATTTGAATTTCTGATCCCTGAAGGCAGCTAGACAGAATCATTCTAGTTCTTCATAAATTGCCTTCTATGATTCATTGTTAACTCATAAAACATACTCATTTCTATATACTCAAACAGTTAAGGTAGTTACAATATCGGGGATGTGAATTTTTTTTTTTTTTTTTTGCCTTTTATTTAAAATTGTCTTCTAAGGAAGAAATCAAGAGTTAGCTCGAACTCCCAGTCAAGGCATGAGCCCTGTAGCTCATGAAACATGAATGTTTTCATCTCCTGGAGGGTGAGGTGTGGATGGCATGGGGCCTGAAAAAAAAGTTTAGTTTTCACTGAATACTCTCAAAGAGGGGCCCATAAATATCAGAGTGCTGTAGTTAAAAACTCACATGACTGTTTTAAATACTATTGATTTAAACCACTGGCTAGATTTTATGAATCAAAGTGTAATTTCTAAGCTTTGGCCATATTTCTCATTGCCAAAGCACTCTCTCGTGTGTGCCTTTAGCCGCTTTCCAGACATTCAACACAGGATTAAATGATAGTAGTTACAGTGATCAATAGGTTAAGACTGCTACAGTCACTCTTGCCGCTAATGACCTCAGTAGTAATGGGCAATAAAGTGTGGGCTGTAATAGCCTCTCGCTGGTACTGCATGCCCTTTGATTCCTAGTATTAGGAGGGACTAGCTACATGAAAAAGTTGGACATTGGGAATTAAGGGAGTGGATATATAGGCTATAATTCTTAACTATTTAAAAGCCTTAAACTATGCTCAGAATTTTTTTTTTTTTTTCCTTTTCTATCATGGTTTCTGGTCCATTTGAATATGTTTGTCAAAGCTTTCCATATAACCTCTTTTCGGGACATGTTGGAGCAGAAACTTTGGGGAGATCTCGGTTTTATTACATATATAAATTAAGCTTGAGCCCACTTTGGATGCCCAGAGCTAACTGGCACAAAAACGTGGTTTCAGACAGTAAAAGCAAAGTTAAGGCCATCAGGATATAATGGCCCACTTCTGATTATCCAGAGACCAGTTCACCAGTTTGGAGGATTACTCAGGCTTCTTGCTTCTTTCCCTCCTTTGGCTGTGCCTGCTGCTTTTAGCATGATATTACTCATCAGTGCCACCATCAAAATGTCCAAAAGGAAAAAGAAGGGGAGACTCAAGTTCATTGTGCTGTTCTGTAACATGAATGCAAAAAAACCGAATAAATAACTGTGGGGAAAGGAGATTTAAACCATTAACTGTGTATAAGTGTTTTAGCATTATCCGTACAGGTATATGTCAGTGCTTTCCTTGATCTCCATTTTTAAATTGACAATTGAGGGACCGTGGTGTTTCTCAATTTAGGAATATGCGTATAATTTTACAAGATTCTTTTTAAAGACTATTTTAGGTTATATATTTTTTACTTTCAAAATCAAGTTTATTGAGCTGTCATTTGCATAGTCTAAAATATACTCAATTTTAAGTGTAGAGTTGGAAGAGTTTCGACAATTGTGTGTCCACCACCCCAATCAAGATATAGGGCATTTCCTTCACCCCCAAAAGTTCACTTGTGCCCCTTTCTAGCGTAGCATTTCCACAGCTCTTTTAAAAAATTAAGACCAGGCAATTATTTCTATGATGATTTCTGTTGTAACTCTTGTTAAGCACATGTTCACCACCAGTTTGGATTTTACACCACCCTGTTCCTGTCTGTTTTCCTGTTCATCACCGTCAGAAATTTGGCTCAAGAATATTTACATTGTACCCCATCCAAGAAATGCAGAGGAAAAAAGAAACCTTAAACATGGCTCTTTTGTTTTCTTAATCAAATCTCCCTGTATATCGATGATGCAACTCTCAAGGAAAAGTAAACTTCTATTGTGATATGTTGGCTTCAGCAGCCCCGACCATAGTGATTGGCACCCAATGCAGTGTTTAAAAATTCAAAAAGTTTCCTCTGTGTTAAGACAAAGTAGATTAATTGGAATTAATTTGTAGATGGGTAGATGTTTTGATAATGTCTTCTTGGTGTTTGCCCTACACTGAATGCAAGTTCACTGTTCCAATCACTGGTGGTATTTCGTGCTGCAAATTATCTTTTTAAAAGGATAATTTATCCATTCATATACATCTGTCCCATTTTGCATATAAAAATATTCAGACATGCCCATCTGTTTTAAATTACAGTGTATCTACATCTATACTTAAAAGGCCACTGTAATAGGAAGGATTCATGTATGACCTTCCAGAGTTGGGTTAATGAAATTTTTCGAATGTTCTAGCTGGTGTTTTCTAAACATGTGAAACTCACACATCAGCATCTCCACGCACGAAACATGCCCACAACAACAGTGGGGAACGTTCACTGTACATGAATCTGACCTTCAGGAACCATTTTTAGTTCATCAAAATTAGTGATGCTGAGAAATCGGGACATCAGTGCATAATGACTGTGAAATTAGGAATGAGAGCTCGCTATGCAAATGACAGGACAAATCATGTGAAAAAGTCAAGATAAACTGCATATTAAGACATTATGTTACATAAAATTAATACTGCATTTCTGCCTTTTGCTTACTGCTCCCCTGAAAGATTTTTTAATTCTTTTATCTTCTGATCAGCTATTGTCTGCCGGATTTTTTTTTTTTTTTTTAAAGTGGCACACAGGCAAAACATGTTATTACCTTTTATTGTAATACATGAGATGACAGCAGATCGTTTTTAACAAAGTATATCCTTTACTGCTTCTGGCTTCTTGCTGTCACATGTTTGATTAGAAACCAAAGAAAAGTTAAGATGCTTAAATATTACTGTTAGAAGACATACAGGTTTTGTCTTTTCTTTCATTGTTTTTTCTTTCCTTATCTTTTTATTTTTTTGGGGGGGGGCACTGATTTTTCATGAAATAGTCTTCTTGCATTACGGGGACTGACAAAATGGTTCTCATGTAGTCTACAAATTAAACACAAGTGCAGTGATTATTTTGAATAGCTAAATTACATTCTAGAAAGCTTGCAGAATTCATAGCATTGTCATTAGGTATCCGCTTGAATACAATTTGTGTAACCTTGGCCAAGACAGCCTGTCATTTTAATGTCAGTGTTTTATCTGAACAAGACATCATCCTTTCAGATACAATGTACAGGTTCCTTGCAGAGATGCCCGTGCAGAAACGTGTTAACAGTTGCAAATACGAAATGCTATCAAGTTCATCACTGTAGCTGTTTGTCACTGAAATGTCATGGAAAGCGGCTTTTAATGGTGTTGCACATAATATGAGAGAATTGAGACGTGTATGCTGGGTGAATGAGGAGAAGGGTAAAAGGCGTCGGAGAGAAGGGTCCCTGGTTAAGTTCCGAAGGTGTGTCCAAGGTCCTGTTACCCACAAGACTGAGCATCCAGTGATTGTTCCTAAAATCACCCCCCTCCAAAGACACCCAGCTGCAAAGGGATCAGCTCCCATGTGTCACCGTCCCCAAAACAGAATTCAAGTTCGGGTTGACTTCCTGCAACTCATTTTGACCCCACGCTCATTCTTCGTAAGAAATTGAGATGGCTCTGTCCTAGCTCCAGTCAGCCCTTAAGTTTTCTCCTCCCTGGCTGCTGGGGGGCCGCCCCGAGCCCCTGTCGACGCTGCAGGGCCTTGTTTTATTTTTCTTTATTTCGAGTCCGCTGCGAAATGGATGGAGTAGGGTCTGTCGCCCGCGTCCCCCTCTGGACGGACAAGGCTGTGCGCGGGCGATTGGCCGGTTCTTTAAGCAGGCTGATGGCAGCCCGCCCCGGACCCGCGAGGCTGCGTGCCGGCCGTTCCTGGCTGCCTATTTATCCTTCCTTGACGTTCTAGGTGCCCGTGTCAGTGGCTATGATGACTCCGCAAGTTATCACTCCCCAGCAGATGCAGCAGATCCTGCAGCAACAGGTGCTGAGCCCTCAGCAGCTCCAGGTCCTCCTCCAGCAGCAGCAGGCCCTCATGCTCCAACAGGTAATTGTCCTCCTCCCCCCTCCTCCTCTCCTCCTCTCCCTCCTCCCTCCTCTCTCTCCCTCCTCTCTCTCCCTCCTCCTTCCTCCCTCTCTCCCGTCCCTGGCTCCTCCCTCCTGCCTCCCTCCTCCTCCTCTCCCTCCCTCTCCTCGTCCTCCCTCCTCCCTCCCTCTCCTCCTCCCTCCTCCTACCCTCCTCCTCCCTCCTCCTCCCCCTCCTCCCCCTGTCTCCTCCTCCTTCCTCTCCCTCCTCCCTCTCTTCCTCCTCTCCCTCGCTCCTCCTCTCCCTTTTTCTCTCTCTCCCTCCTCCCTTCTCTCTTCTCCCCCTTCCCCCTCTCCCTTCCCTTCTCCCTCTTTCCTCTTCCTCTCTCTCCCTTCCCCTCCCTCATCTCCTCTCCTCCCTCCTCCCTCTTCCTCTCCCTCTCCCCCTGCCTCCCTCCTTCCTCCCTCCTCCCTCTCTCTCTCCCTCTTTCTCCTGTCTCTTTCCCCTCCCCTCCCTTCGCGCTCTCTTCTTCCTCCCTCATTTCTCCTACTCCCTCTAGTCTTCCCTTCTTTTCTCCTCCTCCTTCTCCCTTACCTTCCCTTTGTCCTGCTCCTCATTCCTCTCCCTCGGTCTCTCCCTCCCCCTTCCTTCTCCCTCTCCTCCTCCCTCTCACCTCTCTTCTCTCTTCCTCCCCCCTCTCCTCCTCCCTCCTCCCTCCTCCCTCCTCCCACAGACCCAGGGCCCAGCACTGCATCCGGGACTCCCTGCACCCGAGTGGCTGCTTTGCCCAGTGAAGGATGAGCAGGGTAGGGCGGGCGGGGCAGGGCAGGAACCCGTCCCTGTCCCCAAATAATCAATGTGCCTTAGCATCCCTAGCATCGCCTGACTCCTGCCCCAGGCGACTGGGGTCTGGGCCCGGGAACACCCGCTGGACTGAGATTAGGGCTGTGAATTAGACTTGGTAGAAATAAGATCGTTTAGGCTTACGTGGCTTTACCCTCTTTGACTTGGTAAGCCCGGAGGCTTCTAAATGGTGTGACTCTAAGCGAGGCGAGGCGCACGTTGGGAGCAGGTTTACATAGGACAGCTCTTGAAGTCCCCAGCTCTGAAGTCAGAAGCTTTACAGATTTTTTTATTTTTTTTTTAAACACGAAGAAGCGAACGTGAAGGCCCAGAGTTGATTTCGCTTCTCACCTGTACAACGCTGACACCGAAGTGAACTTCTGGCTGTCATTGTGCCGTAGGGACCTACTGTTCAGACTTAATGGGCACCAGACCCAGGTGGATGGTCCTGGGGTGGTGGGTGTTCCCACCTGGGGTGCAGGATGCAGGGGGAGCTCCCAGCACTGCAGGGCGCACCCCAAATGCCCCTCCAGCGTGCCCAGCCCTGGCAGCGAGAGCACACGGCAGACACTCCCTGCAACAAGGGCATTGTGGCTTTGTTGTCCCATCAAAGGTCATTTCTTGCCTTATTTTAATTAGTTTGTGCAGAAAATGGTATGTTTTTCATCAGTTCATTTTGGAGATTACTTTTCCAACAATAATGCCAAGAATAGGCAGCGCGTGCTGAATTTATCGTGGAGTCTCAAACGAAAGGTCAGGCCATTACAGATAAAAGGATGCTATTTTTCAAATCGCAGTTTGCGTATGGCACCAGCAGGGACCGGGCTGGGCGCTCCCCTCCGTTACTTACCGGCCTGTCTTTTCCTTTGTAGCAGCAGCTTCAAGAGTTTTATAAAAAACAACAGGAACAGTTGCAGCTTCAACTTATACAACAACAACATGCTGGAAAACAGCCTAAAGAGGTACCGACAATACATATTTTACTTTCAAACCACAGATCCCTGAGGACTATCTAGTGGCTATTAAACTGTCATTCATCTTTTAAATGATTGCACAACTGAGCTGACTCTATCGGTTCTCAGCTTTCAGACTGAGAGTTATTGTCCTGTTTTCGCTCAGATTTTTTCTGGGTTCCATTTGCTTCCTGCCACATATTTTATGACACTGCTTGCACGTGGACCTGGGCGAGGGGCTGGCCGTGGGCAGAGCCTCTGTCTAGGGCTGCTTCTGCAGACTGAGTACCAGGATATAGACGAGGGAAGTCAGGTGCATTCAGTAAACTTTGACTTGGACCCACATTTAAATTTTTTTTTTTTTTCCCCCCAGCTTAGAGAGCTTGGGTGTGTGATGACGGCCTTTTCCTTGGGAAGAATAACCCCTTGTGAGGTTGGACAAACAAACAAAAAGTTAGAACAAGATCAAACATCCCCATCTTTGGTTACCTTCTTCCTGCAAGCGATACATACTGTAAATTGCTACAGGCATGTGTGTACCAGATAGCAGGACCGTAAAGTCACGGGAGGACTCCGGCTTGGATTGTTTGTGTTTTCCTGCAAAAAAAAAAAAAATATATATATATATATATAGCGTGTTATAATAGCTTCTGTACGCACAGTGCTTCGTAGCGTCGATGAGTTACTGCACTAGGCCACGCCACCCGGTGAGGGTGACAGCCTCAGTCCCATAAATGGCAAGGCCTGTCTAGGGACTCGCCCTTTCACCTTCTATACGATTCTGGGTGGGCAAGGCTTACTCAGTTGCGGAGGCATCTGTGCGCATATGTACATTTTTATGACATTTTTCTACCTGTGCCAGAGTGACCCTGTTTAACTCACCTTCCTCATATTTTTACAGTGGACTGAAATCCCTTTTGTTTTAAGGGTTCTCTTTGGGGACAGCACCGTTTATGATTCTGAAGCAGCGCATAGTCCACTTTGACACCTCCTTCCTCTGCCCTAAGGGGTTGGCCACTTGCGTTCTTTGGAAGGGAGTCTTCCCAGGTGACTGTCCCCACGTCCCTGTCCCTCCGGCAAGCGAGCAGAGCATGCCGGCCGGCGCTGATCGTGCACACCGGGAGTGACCCGGGCGCTCTCCCCGTGCCAGCTCCTCCCTCAACACGAATTGGGTCCATTTTCCGTGCCCCGCAGAGCGCTCACCCCCCCGGGGTCCTGTTGAGCAGCCTGGGCATGAGCCCCTGCAGAGCAGGGGCAGTTTGGGGGTGCAGGGGTGGGGGAGGCGTTTTAATGAAAATGCTGACACAACCTTAAGTACAGTGGTGCACTCCCGGGTGCTGCTATAATAAAAAAGGGAACAGATTAAAAAGTGTCTAAAATGTAAATCTAAAGGACCAACAGTAATTAAAATGGAAATGGCGCAGGGAGGGAAGGCATGTAATTGGGAGATATCACTGTGCAGAAGGCTCTCAGCTTTGTTTTGCTGGCTGTTTTTCTAATTCAGCAGGGCTTACTCATCAGTGGCAGTTCAATGCGCGTTAATGACTCGGGATTGCAGGCATCACTCTGGACAAAGAAATGATTATTGTGCGGTCAAAAGAAGTTCAAAGACAAGAAGGGAATTTCAGTTTTTTCCTTAGAGATCCACATTCAAGAGCATATAAATTAAGCCAAATGTTAAAAACCACAGTCTGAAAGCTGACTTCAAAGTCACAACTCTCTAATTAATGAACTGCGAGCTTCAGTTTGGACAAGTTGTGGTTTGATGCGCCCATAAATCAACATGACAGGCCTGTTTCACAGTCTCAGACAGTGCTTGTCATTGAGTCACATCAGATGTAAACACAGCAGAAAAAAGAAGGGGTATGAAGGAGGTGCAATTGATCAACAGAATTGGTAAAAACCCACTTTTGAAGCATATTATGCATGATCACAGGAAATGGTTATAGCCTCAAGAGGTTTCCCCTTCTGCTGTTGCTTTTTTGAATCAGATTTCTAACAGCCTTCAAAAGGGAGAATAAGAATTATGGAGTTTCTCCCCTGTGGCTTGCAGGCAATAACCCCCTGTTGTTATTTTGTGCTTCTTTCTTTTCAAAGGCATCAAAATTTAGTTTTTTAAAGATCTTTAACTCCATATTTGAAGACAAACAAAAAAGGGCTGCCACTGTCATTCTTATCAGTTACCAGGGATTGTGTTTTTCCTTTCTGTTGCCACTTCTTATTAACCTCTTATTTGGTCTGTTAGGCATAGTTTGGAATCCGCGTCTGCATGCTGGGAGAACACGAACGTTCAGACGAGCGCAGAGGGCAGATAAAGAAATGCAAGGGGGGAAAGTTACGCAGCAGAAAGGAGGATGAAAGTCGCCTCTCCCAAATTGCTGTTGTCAGAGAGGGGCGCGTCTCAAGAGCAGGAAGGCGATGGTGCTTGTCTGAGTTTGGGAAAGGAACAGGGGCGAAAAGAAAATACTTTGCATCTGAAACAGGACAACGGGAGACATCTGTAGTGGCATTTTAGCATCTCCAGGACTGTGCTTTGTCATCTATTTCTCAGGCAAAGGTGACCCAGGAGCTTTGTGCTGCCTTGAATCCCCTTAGCAGTGGTGGGCAGGCCGATGGACAGGTGGCCTCTCGTGCTTGGATTTCCCTGTGTGCTCATGTGCTGGTGGATTTATTTGGCCAAGACCTGTTGTAACAGTGGGTAAGGAGATCCTTATTTTCCCCGAGATAAGGGGCTGGTCTCCTGGAATTGCCGTGCAGGTGGTGGTTCCTTTTGTGCTAAACTGAAATAGTCACATGGTAGCAATTTCATGAGGTGGACTGGTGGCTCTGATTTTAACAAGGTTTGAACTTGGATGTTGACAGATGGAACAAGTATGTTAATTTACTGAATCCCCCGTCATTAGTGGCTCATGATTTTGTATCATTAGGTTTACCACCTCCTCCTTTTTTTTCCCTTTTTTGATTCCCTCCAGAGTGAGACTCTTGCTGTTTGGCTAGAACAGAACGATGTACCTTCGCTCTTTTTTTTTTCCCCCCCTAAAGTTGCTTGGAGATGTTTCCCTAGGAAAGTTTGGCTCCATGTTAAGTTAGAGACCTAAGACCTTCCTTAAAAGATAGATAGTTGCTGTTTGTTAGGAGGGGAGAGAGAGATGTACCCCCAATGCAACTATTGAAGTGACTGCTCGTTTCTTATCAGACAGAGATGGGGTGGAAAATAGAGGGCAGAATTCATTTTTAAATCAAGCCACAAAAAAAAAAGAGATCCCATCCTGTACGGGTGAGGTAGGCTGTTGATTGTTTTAAAAGGGCCGTTTGTCCCGGGTAGTTATGACAGTTTATGTTAGGCAGTAGGGAGTAGCCAGAAGAAAGGAAAACAGACCTTTGACTGCAGCTCTAGGGAGGGGATCCAAAATGCAGGGTTTATCAGGGCATTTTAGCATTTTAACACTGACTACTGACCTGTCGAGGGGACTGCACTGAGACCTTTTTTGTATGCATTCAATTGTGAGAAGTAAACAAACGGACTCGTATCCTGTGTTTGGTAACTGGGTGGGGAGCCCCAGTTTGGCAACCAGTGTTGCTTTTAAATTCTTTCTTTGGACAATGGGCCTTGTATACTTTTATATCCTGGCTTTTCAGACGTGGACAGCTTTCATGAGCTTTTCCTAGGGATAGCCACAGAGACAACAGAAGAGGCCTCAGTCATTTTAGATAAATACAGAATTTTTAAACATTTCATTTACAGTAAGGCAGGAAACACCCCTCCCAACCTTCAGCCAACCCCCCCCCCATTACCTTCTACTAAGAAGAGCTAATTGCCTGATCTTTTATTGTGTCGATGTTGTTTTTCCTCTTCCTCCTATTTTTTTTCCTAATGTCGTGAGTTAATATCTGTTGAAGAAGTGAAAAAATCATTTTGACATGAATATAACTATCATTGGGTTTTACATTAATGCAATAACTTGGGAAGGGGTGAAAACAATTGGATCATTTTATGCATGCTGTTCTTAAAATGAAAACACTGGCTTTTCATTTAAATTTATTTAAATTTTTGTTGTTAGTGGTATAGAATTTGTTTTTTGGAGTGAAACTCAATTAACTTTCTCAGTGGCATGGTAGTAAGTCTGAAATTGGTTGCTAATATGAGAATGATGGTTTTTACTGTAAAATAAACTACATGGAGACTAAAAGGAAACCACCATTTTTCTCTTTCTTTGAACTTTGCATCAGAACGTCTTGATATACATTCCATTTTATGGGTGTATCAGATCAAGGTCATGTGTCAGGTTAAGTGAATGCAGTTGTTTGTGAAGCAGAGTTGTCAAGCAGAACATGCAACCTCTGAAAGTCTTGGATGGTCCTTTTAGTTGCAAAAATCTTGGATGGTCTTTTTAGTCGCAGAAGTCTCTCTGATCTTTTTGACTAATACTCAGAGTTAGGAAAACTAATCTTGTTCTTTTCTTGAAGAACCTTTTTTTTTTCTTCTTCTTCTTTTTTGGCTACAGTTTAGGAAGGGTTAATTTTCCTTTTTATAATTGTTAGCCATAACGTGGCAAAGACCTCCACCTTGATATGATTCCTAGCAGATTAAGGATATTAGACAATTTCCTTCTATTTATTGTACTACTGCACTGTATTATCTTTCTATCACTCAGATAATTACTGAGGAAATCTACATTAATTTTTTTGGCTGGAGCAGGGCCTGCTAAACACAGGAATGATGTATTGATGTTTTACACAACAAAAGTTTTCCCCCTGTCATTGTCCAATCAACACAGAGATATTTATCATATCGCAAAGCCCCTTCTTTTCAAGAACAAAGCAGGTGGGGAGAAGCAGGACAAGGGCCCCAGACTTGGGGTTTCTGAGACCAAAGCCAAGTGAAGGCATCCAAAGCTCAGGCAGCCGACTACGATGTTGTTTGCTAAATTATGAATGTGCGTAATTAAAATCTAGTGGCTGTTTCTATGAAAGATTTACAGTGTTATTTCATCGTTTGTCATGGCTAATTAACAATATTAGATGAAGTTTTTCTTCTTCAAAGGTCTGATTTTTCCTCATTTATTTATGTCAAAAGTGATAAACAGAGTTAGTTAAAAGCTTCTGCCGTTGCAGGCAGAGGGAGGGAGGCGGCTCGTTCGTTCTCTTGCAGCCCAAAGGTTCAGGGTTCAAATCCCTGCAGACTAGAGCTGAGGCCATCTGTCCGAGCTCTTCCTTAGAGGTGTGAACAATAAAAAAAAAAAAATATGTCAAAGTGTGATAGTGCATCCCTTCCTTCGCTGCAAAAACTCAGGCTTCTCAGACTGGAGGGAGAGAAGACTCAGACTTTGATTGACAGATATTTTGCAGCGGGGAAGGTGACACCCACCCCGCCCCACCGCCCCGCTGCTCCGCAGAGGTGGCGCGTTCTGTCCCTCTGCCACCTTGACATTGAACCCTCCGCTGAGCTCTAGTGACCATTCTCAGCGTCAGATGATGATGGTGAGTTTTGAAGCGTCCATACTTTGCACCTTCCTGGGGAAGTGGCCGGTCTCATTTTTTTTGTGTTTGTTTTTTTTTTTTTTTCTTTTTCTTCCTGATTTCTTGCAGCAACAGCAGGTGGCCACCCAGCAACTGGCGTTCCAGCAGCAGCTACTACAGATGCAGCAGCTGCAGCAGCAGCACCTCCTGGCTCTGCAGCGCCAAGGCCTTCTGACAATTCAGCCCGGGCAGCCCGCCCTCCCCCTCCAGCCTCTTGCTCAAGGTACGCGGGGGGAACACGGTACAGCAGGTGCCGCCCTGTGGAGACTCTGGGTGGGTGTAGGTGGTGGGCCGGGCACTCTCGGTGTATCCCAGCTCATCGTCATGAAGGACACCGTGCATCTAAAACACATGCACGGAAACTTCTTTTAAGAAGCTTGAGTGAGCTACACATGGGCCCCTGTAGAAGCCAAAATGCTAGCATCATGATGCTAAAAGGAAGCCTTAGGATGGTCTTGAAGCCTTGGCAGCAGCCGAGCCATCCTGCGGTTGCACGTTCTCGGAGTGAGGGCATGCACCACTGCTTTTGCACTTAGACTATTGTAGTCTTGCACCCTTGTAGGCCTGCAGCTTGGAACCACAAAGGAATTTTCTTGAAGGTTTCTGTTAAGTCATTTTAAGCCATGTCTTATATCCTACAATTTGTCCTATTTTAAAATTTCTGCAATGCTTTATAAAACGCCATGTTTTAATATCTAGAGATGAATTGAAGTTTGTTTTTCTATAAAGGATTAAAATCAATCTCTTTTTGGTTACAGAAACCAAAGGTGTTTTTTTGTTTGGGCCTTTTCTTTTTTTTTTTTTTTTTTCTTCTCTCTTTGCATTCATCTGTTGATTTTTGAGCATGTTTAATTCTACATGCGTCAGAACAGATACCATTTCCATGTCCGGTTCTTCAAAAGCCTGGGATTCCTTGAAAAAATAGTAAGAGTTCATGGATTTAGTGAATTTCTTTTGACAAGCCCCTGACGTTTGGATCCCAAGGGTGTTGGACATCAGAAACCAAATGGGAACTCTGGGAGTGTTTAGGACATCTTCTTGGTTTAAGGAACTCTGACTTTCACGTGTGTAATGTGAAAGAAGATAGATTATTCAGAACTAAAAAGGAGGGAGGGAAGGAAGGAAGAAAATGCCATACCTGTGTCTCAAAATACGGCCCCCCCATCCCATACGTAGCAGAGCAGATCTCTGACGGCTCGGACCATCGTTCTGTTCAGCTGTAGCAGATCTGATGTATATGTCTTTGTGCATTAAGGGTTGGTAGCTAGAGCTGTTGGCGTCTTGGATGCAGTGACCTTCTCCAGAAGGTTCCAAATGTGGAGCCTCCTTCCTGTTGCTTAAGGCTTGGTCATTTGTTTAGCAAGTGTTGGTGTCCAGAGAAGTCAGAGAGTCCTGTCTGCATTTGAATCTTGTCTCTCAAGTCAACCACACCCAGCTTCTGCCCCTTCTTAGGTTTGCTTTTTTTTTTTTTTTTTTTCCATTTGGAGACCAGGGCTTTTTCCCCCTTTTAACTTCTCTGTTGTCCCTCCACCCCTTCCTGCCATGTCTGCTCGACTGCTGGTCACCTACCCAACATCTCCATTGCTGTCAAAAGAAGACTTGAGCAGTTCAGCAGTACAAGGGGAAAAGAAAGGCTATCCTGTCCGTGTCCGCGAGTGCATTTTTGTGCTTGTGAGATGTTGCAGTGTACGCTAATTACACCTTCGGGTTTATTGTTGGAAACACCTGACACACCTGTCGGATTCAACCTCTCTCATCTTTTCCCACCGCTCCTATACTATTAAGTTTGCTCACTAAGGTTCATTGTTATAGCATATCAGTTAAGCTGCCCAAAAGAGGGCAATTGGGCAGCGACAAGACAAGCTCATGTGTAATGTGAAAGAAATGAATGTGCTGGTGCATGAAGTGTAATCTTTGCAGTAACATATCAGAGACACTGGTAGGCAATTCACTGGTCGTGGCATTGATTGATAGGTTTAGCAGTCAGTCTGCTATCACCGTTGGCCCCTGCGACATTAGGGAGAAGCATGTTTAAAATCGAAGGGGTGCTCTCGTGTGTGTGCCCGAGATGGCCTGAATGTAAATATAAATATTTGTGGAGTCAGGTTCTTGCAGGAATGCCGTGTGCATCTCTCAGGAATCAGGAGGTTGGTTTGGTCTCCCCCACCCGCTCGCCCGGAGTGACTTGAGAATTCAGTCATCTTGGACCACAACACAATTTTTTTTTATCAGAGAGATGATGGCTTAAAACTGATGTCATTATGAGGTTTAAATCAACTCTCTGCTTGCTTGAACATGGTCACCTGGGTATGGGTGTACAAGGACAAAAAAAGGTTGATCAACTCTGTTTGTCTTTGAGCCAGCGATACCTGGGGTTGTAAAATTGAGTTCCACGAACAGTAATCTGTCAACTGTCCCTACAACATACATTTTTTAAACCTGTGCCTGCATTTTCTTCTGTAATGAAGGGGCCAGTTGTCCTGGAAAAAGAAACCATTGGAAGGCACAGAGGTTATCTGTTAACAATGCTGGTAATACCCGCTTCATAATAAAATCACCAAGATTCTTTTACATGTCTGTCCATGGCCTTGCTAAGTTAACCTTAAACATGGATGTAAATGTCAATGTATAGGAACAGTTACTATTTTGAAGGCCTTTTTTTTTTCCCCTCAAGGTTTTGTATTATGAAACAGGAGGGGTGTTTTTTGTTTTTAAGGTTATAGTAGGGTTTTCTCTCGGTTTTACCTAATTAGCGTATCTGTTCTTCACCTTGGTCTCTTTAACCATCTGATCCTCCCTGGCACCAGCAATTTCATATAGAATTATTCTTTCACTATCATTCTGATCTTTTTAATTTTTGAAATGTAAACTCTTGGTAGGAGAAAAATTACATGCTTGGTTATGTACCTGCAAATGGATTTGTTTTTAACTTGGTACTCTTATTCTTGCCATTTTGGAAGAAATGCATGCTTTCTTGGATGTTCGTTCCATCTGGTGAGTGACCGGCTTACCTGCTATCTGCTTGAATTCTGTCATGAGATCTTGGCTGTCACATAACAGCACCCTTTGGTAGATAACAGTCATTGAACAAGGAATAGCATTGATGGGAGAGAGTGATTTGACTGCCTCTCTGCTAAGTCTGATGAAAAACGTTCTTAAATGTAATTATCGCATTGCAGCCAGCCCCAGAAACACCCCTGTTGTCACTTAATAAGTTACTGTTTATTTACCACTCCTCCCTGTGGATGAAGAGACTGATTTGCCAGCCCATTGCAATGAAAGGAGAGTTAGGGTGACATTAATGGTTTCTGCAGGTATAACAAGTGGTGAGTAACATGCGCCTTTGTCTTCATTTGCTGGATAAAGATCTTTTAAAACAGCTTCAAAGTTCTGCTTTGCTTGGAGGGAGAGTGTTAACACAGTCGTTAGAACCCTGCTCTTCTAGTCTTCCCACCTCCCCTGCGACCGACCCAGAAATCAATTAGTTTGAGTCGAAAAACAGGCGGCTTGTTCTTCCCTAGAACATAAAAATAGGTGTTGACTTGTGGGGTTTTATATCAACATGCCGTGATCAGCAGACAGTCCCATTTGCTGTTGTCTCAACTGAGCGAACAGTGGGCCGGGGGTCGGCCACGTCCGCGGGTCACTGTTGGTGGGCCGGCCACAGAGCCCCAGCCTTGTCCCTGCAAACCTGTCCCACCTGTCCCTTCAAAAGGTGTTGGAAAATAATAGCCCAAATGCAGCAAAACCGGACACTGGGGTTGTGTAGTGACCTTTCCCTTTGTTTAATTTGCCTCTGAGGTTTAATTTCAGGGGACAGGTAATAATTGAATATGCCTAATAACTAAATGCTCATTTGGGACAAAATCCATCAAAATATAATTGGCATTTGATTTTTATGAAGGTAGAAGAAAACCTACTTGGCTGTCGAGGATTGCGTTCTAGGACTGTCTGACCACTTCATGTATCATTCGAAGCCTCCTTTATAATATATATTAATTGCAAATACTTGAGCATTTGAACATTTTCGTGGAGAACCGTTAGGAGAGACCAACTGTTTTTGTTAACGTTCTTCTCAGAGGCGGGAAAGGTTATTGGTCTGCTGTGCAATAATTTACTCCTCTTTGATATGCAAACGATCCACGGTGAATATAAAAAAATCCTATCAGACTCATTTCACAGTTCTTAACCACTCGGATTCTCTGGAGTCCATCGCCTCATTAGACCAGTGCTCTCCAATGCTAGCATAATTAAAATCTTTAACAGTTTAGCAAAGTAAAGATGTTTGGCTGATCACGTTGAGATGATTATCTATCCATTGTATTCTAAATGACAAAAATAAATTAAATTTAGACCTTGGCATTTTTTATTATGTGTTTCAAATGAATATAATGCACACAGCCTTCTTTTTTAATTCAATACCTTAGGTTTGGTAGGAAACATGCCTGTTTCGGCTGCTGCTATGTAGCCAGAAAAATGGCATCCTTTCCAGGGTAGCTGTGTTGCAGTTGACTGAAACAATGAACTGCCATCCAGACGTCCCATTCTAACACAGAATCACCTTTCTGTGTACATCAGCGTTGATGATTTCTTTTCGATGTTCTCTCAAAGGAAGCTGGTGCTGTTTGTTGTTGTTAGTTGCCATCCAGATGATTTTCTTCCTGTTCATGTATGTGCTAGAACATGCATTGAGGTGGGATTTGGAAATCTCAGGCTGTAGAGCTTATTAGGCCCACAATAAATAGTGAGATTGACATACGGATTGTATCGCTTTTTGGGGGAGTAATACAGGTTGTGGCTTACTGCTCAAACCCCCTGTCCATTTTGACCCCCCTAGAAACCAAGAGTACTTTACTACTCCAAGTTTATTTTACATTTCCATTTTATTCTGCAATGGTTCATTACCATTGATCTAAGAAATGACAGTAATAACAGTGTTACTTGTATAAAAAGTTATACATTTTTTTTCAGTAGACACATCCATCAATTAAGCATGTGGTACTAGAAACCAAAATTAATGAGGAAGATAGGTGTGTTAATGAAATAATCATAGTATAATCAATTTGACTGTTAAAAGTTGAAAAGCATTTCAGGAAGACGATATGAATTCATAATTTATGTCTAAAAGTGATTAATAAAAACTATATTTAATAACAAAGCTATTTGTCATCATTTAAAGGCTTAAGCACAAAAATTATTCACTTTGTGTTTCGTGTTGTCATAATAGTATAGTTGAACAAATTTATTGTGAGCCCTTCTTAGTGTCTAAAAATAAGGGAACCATGTATCTACTTTTTTTTTTTTTCAAAAATTGAGAAGCAACATTTTGGATGGAGACAGGCATATGGTTGTTGCAAAGTAATGACCATGTCTTGCATCTGTTTTGTGATTGTCTTCTGTGTGTGTGATGGCACTTCACCTGGGCTGCTCAGTAGGACACGCTTGTGATTACCGTATTTGCCTTATTAGTTGGGAGGCGGGAAACTGCACACACCAAAAAAAAAAAAAATCCCCCCTAACACTAGGCTTTGTTTACTGACTCTTTGATTTAATTACTGTTTGAAGAGGACGGAATTAGCTGTTAATTGATTTAATTATCCAATTTGTTTGTTTCAGGCATGATTCCAACAGAACTACAGCAGCTCTGGAAAGAAGTGACAAGTGCTCACTCCGCGGAAGAAACCACAGGCAACAATCACAGCAGTTTGGATCTGACCACGACATGCGTCTCTTCCTCTGCACCTTCCAAAACCTCCTTAATCATGAACCCGCATGCCTCTACCAACGGACAGCTCTCGGTCCACCCTCCCAAAAGGGAAAGGTATGCACTGAGATGTGTCCCAAGACCGTCTTTAATGTGGGGGAGGGCGGGTGGCCCTGCCCGGCTGGATCTCAGTGATCCTGAAATGGAACCACGTGACCTGAAGGTGCATTACCTAAGAACGCATTCAGTGTGGTTTGGGTGTGAAGCGTCTAATTGTTTTCACCTTTTCAACATGGAATTAGCACTTGCGTAGATCTACTCTGAGCTTAGGAACCTGGGCAGAAGTCTTGCAATTTACTATTGCATGGGTTGGATTTCAAGGTTTCCGGGCCTGTCCCTTCTGCCAAGTGCTCACTCCGTACAAACTGAATTCCTTGGCTTCTGAGAGCCTGCTAAGGGAGTAGTAGTGTCTGCTGTGAGCAATTTTGAACTCTGGTTTGAGAAAACAGAGAGCTTATGTTACTCTACACTGCTCCCCTGGAAGGCTTGGGAGCCTGAGGTCTTGTCCGCATAGACGCTGAGTAAGGGTTTGAAGGATAGAGAGATGGAAGTGGGGTCGGGTGGGGAGATGTTTGTTGTCTACACACACAGACATACACAGCACATTTCTCCTGGTCATGGGATATATGGTAGCATTTTTTCCAGCATTCCTATTGGGAGGTTAAAGCTTTATGGTTTTTAATTGCCGTGAGCTACGTGTGAATGTTAGTTGAGACTTGAGGTTGTTTTAACAATCTGGAATATGTCATATTAGCATGGAGTTCTAAGAAAATAAAGCTGTTAGTTCATGTTATTATATCTTGGCACCCAGAAGCATTAATACTGCTGTTGAAATGCCTTTCAAAAGTAGAATATATAATGCTAAAATTTTCAATTTTAGGAAATTTTCAATTTCCTAAAATTGAAAACTTTTTTTTTTTCCAGTTGACTATTTTTAAACTGTTTCCTATATAATTTCATATGCAGAGCTTCCACGCGCAGAAGAAAAGAAATCTTAAAAGCACTATGTGATAGTAAATGTCATTTCCATCGGGGAAAAAAGCAAAATCTGTATTTTGTTTTTAAATAAAACTGACTCAGTGAAAAATTACTTAATTATTCACTTCAGTTAAGCAGTTACAAATACAGTTTCATATATTTCTCAAAATATTGAGCATTAAGAAACCCACCGGTTTGATCAGATGTATATCTTTATGCCAGAAAAATGTTTTCTGAATATATACATACAAAAATACACATACGTTATATGCATTGTGTTTAAGCACAAAAACTATGAGTGGTTATGGTTTGAGGATGAGGATAATATATAAGTTTTAACCAAAATTTGCAACTATTTTACGATCATTTTGGAATTTCTGTGGCAGACACGAGAAAACTAAAAAAGACTCATTGACCACATTGGTTCAGAAGAGTTTGAAGAGTAGAATGGTTGGGACCCTAAGAATCAATTTAGAGCCATTGGGCAAAAGGTGGCTTCTGTTGTTTCTTTGAGGTTAGATATGTATATGTCTGGAAGCCAGTCTCGCCTCTTGCTCTCTAACTCTTACAGTGTCTTTATTATTATTTTTGTTTCCGAAATAGAAAACCTTAGATAGCATTAAGGCAAAGGTTCTAGGCTGTTGTCCTTCGCTGGACTTGCTTTTGATGTCCGAGGTGGATGCCATCCATTCACTGCAGAGTGATTGAATTACATCTTTACCCGTAGGCTGAGCAGGGGGCCATACCCTGACAAATGCCGGCTGATGCACTTAAGGTATTTGTTGCAATCTTCTCAGCCATTGTGGAGCCTGCACAGATTTCCTCTGACACAGAAAACTCCTCTTGTTTAGATGCACCGTGCTCGGTTTCATTCTAAAAGGTTATGTATCTGCAGCAAGTGAGAGATATAATAGCACTTTTCATGTTTTAAGGCACATTTGAGAGTAAAGGAATCTAAAGAGACAGTCTAATTCCGGGAGACTAAGTTTGTTTGAATTTTTTTTTTTTTTTTTAGGGTCCATATTCGTCTGTGCAAAAGTTTTGCTTAATCTACATGCTAAAATTAGAGTGTGGGATCACAAGTACCTTAATCTGGGTGTGAAAGCAAGGCTGAGTTTTCCAATTGTACATGCAAAGAGGAAGCAGCTATGAAATCGTATGCCACCACTTAATCTCTTGAATCTCTCGGTTTATATTATCTGGTAGGTTTCTAGACGTGGCTAGATTAAAAGAACATTCTAGTCAGCATATTTTAACTGAATGTAGCTAGCAAGACAAATGAGCACCTTAAGTTAAAGATAATTCTAAAGTTTTAAGCTCACAGAATTGATGATTTAAAAAAAAATCAATTATTAGTTAGCCAGCTTTGTGTACATACAGGTACTTCAAATGAATTTTATGTGGCATCACCTTCTTAATTTAAAAACCGCATGTATGATATCCAGCTTAAATAGAAAATGGTTTTTTTTTTTAAAGCTATTACTACAAATTATGTTCTCACCTGTACACTGAGCTGCCAGTTGTCTCAGGAATTCCTTGTCCCTGTCTTGGAGGAGATTCATCCCTTACTTTCTAAAGCATGTGGGAAATCTGTGGCCTTCCAAGCTCTTCTTTGATTTCTGTGTCATATTCTCTTCCCTCCCTCCGGCACGGATCTGCATCTGAACAAGGAAGGAGCCCCCCGCCACCCTGAAAAATAATCTAGCCCCACAAACTCGGCCTTGGGTTCGTTGGCAGCTTTAAGAATTCTTTCTGGAAGGATCTGGGAGTGCTCTGTGTGACATTTGGTGGGAAAAGGTAGCAGCGTGAGAGTGTTTTGCTTGTTTTTAAGGTCGAGAGATGTCTGATCATCTCGACTGGCCTGCATCTCTGGTCTCTCTCGGTGCTGTTTGGAAAACTTCTCCCCCCTACCCACCCACCCCACCCCTGCCCCGTGCATCCTGCGGCTTCTGCGAGCAGCGGCTGCAGCTCTGGGGTTTGGTGAGCGGCAATCTGTTAAGGAGATAAATAATGTGCTTGGCACGACACTCCTACTCTCCTCTTTAATTTGTCTTACACAGGGAAAATTATAATTAAATCATTCAGGGTAAACCCTTGAGTGTAGAGAAGGGAAAAAACACACTTTGGTAAAGATTGCCAATAGAAACCCACTTCCCTGTTGCACAGGGTGGAGGCATTTATCAATATTCAGCGCTGTCGCGGGAGGGGTGGCCCGTGTGATCATTTGTGAGGCGGGTGCCGGCGCTCACACCAGGGCTTGTCAAGGCCCTGTCCCTGCACGATCACGGACGTCCAGGCGTCGTTAGAATTCTGTGCTGGCGCCTCGCTTCGTGCTCTGGCCTTCTCCTGACAATTTAGTGATGTTTGTTGTGCTGATTATATATAAATGCGCTGGTGCAACAAACATAACCTGTGTTGTCGGTGCCTGAGGAAAGCGTGGCGGGGGTCAAGTTCAAGGGCTGGGGCTGGAGGAGAGCTGCCAGTGGAAGCAGGTGCATTCAGGCCTCTCTCGCTGTCTGTCATTTTATTCCACAGGAGCGGGGAGTCTTGGCTTCTTGGGCAGACAGATAGGACTCTGGCCTGGGGTACCTGTAAACCCGAAGATATCATTGTCTTGTTTCCTTAAACTTAACCTGACTGTCTCACTTTAGGAAATTCCAAGATTTGGTGTGGGTAAACAGGATCTACAGAATGCAAATGAAACATTTATTAAAACGCTAAATTTAGTAAAGCCCTTTGAGCTTCTTGGATCAAAGCAGCTATGTAAATACAAATAGCAATTACTACTTAAGTAATTGCCTGAATTAAAATTCTAAATATCACATTACGTTATGTTGCACTAGGGAAAGGGAAGAGAACTCATATTTAATCAGTTCCTTCTCCGTGCCAAGCTCTGGCTAGACTCTTGCATATGGAGTAATGTCTCATTTTGTCCGCTTGACCACGTGGGAAGCAGTAGGGAATATCATACCCATTTTACAGATGAGGAAATCGAATCATAGAAATTAAGTAGGTAACCTAGGATCACAGAACTGGTTAGTGGCATATTTAAGATCCAGGTTGAGGTCTTTTCAGTTCATAAAATAGTACTTAAAAGTTTTAATTCCGCTTAGAAATGAGTACTAAATTCGGATAAATTAAAATCAATGGCCCTAAAAGAAATTCTAAATTTAAATTCAATTCAAAAACACATTTATGAACCTACTGCGTGCAAATCACCGCATTTAAATGAAAATACCATGCTTTCCTCTTCTATGGTGGCCTTTGCACAAAGGTGGCAGGTTTACAAAATGTAAATCAGGTTTATGGTCTGGAACAACACGTAAAGAACAAAAGTGAACCCCAGCTGGATTTAAGCCCCTCTCCTTCAAAAGCATTCCCACCTTCCCTCCTGTCTTACGTATCTTGCATTTCCTCATTGAACACATCATATGGTCGTTATTCTATTTCAGCTGTCCTCTGTGATCCAAATTTGAAATTTTCTTTTTTTTTTTCCCTCATCTTTCCCAGCTTTTTGCTTTCCATTCAACCACCATTGATAGATGTTTTTTTTTTTTTTTTTTTTTTTTTTGAGACAGAGTCTCACTTTGTCCACCGCAGCTAGAGTGCTGTGGCGTCAGCCTAGCTCACAGCAACCTCCAACTCCTGGGCTCAAGCGATCCTCCTGCCTCAGCCTCCCGAGTAGCTGGGGCTACAGGCATGCGCCACCATGCCCGGCTCATTTTTTCTATATATTTTTAGTTGGCCAATTTTTAATTTCCTTCTGTTTTTAGTAGGGACGACGGGGTATCACTGTTGCCCAGGCTGGCTTCGAACTCCTGACCTTAAGCAATCCTCCCGCCTCAGCCTCCCAGAGTGCCAGGATTACAGGCGTGACGTTGATAGATGTTTTATAACTTGAACATTTCTCAGATGCATCACTGTTCTAAATATTTGTTCCGAGGTACCCTTACGCATTCGGTGAAACAGGTGTCTTTAAACTCTGCAAAGATTGTTGTTGTGCAGCCCGTGCTTTTTTTGGGGGGCCCCTATTGTTCTCAGAAACAGGTGACCCAAACTGGACACTTTTCTCTGTGAGG